GCATGGATAAAATTCGCCCATAGAACGGTACCACTGTGCTGTACATGATATATCCGTACGGAGAGTCCAGATCTTCAAACGTTGGAGGAGAGATGTAATGCTTTGCATTTGGACAAATAGCCCGAGCTACTGTCAGCACGTCGGTAAAGTAATATGCTGGGATCTTACCATAGGCAAATTTCGGTTGGGCAGGTGGAACCGGGATAGTTATCTGTTTTCCGGTCAGCTTTTCGATCTGACTTCGAATTGCGAACAGCTTTGTTGTAGGATCGCCTGCCTCGCTGATGGGTGCATCATAATCATAACTGGTGGTTACAGGGCGGTTTTCAGCTGAGGCGCAATTCATGTCGCCAAAGTTCGTACCTCCGGTGAACATATAAAATGTAAACGACGCATTAAATGACCACATATAGCTCATCGTGTCGAGAATGGGACCCGATGGCGTGACTGAATGGTCTTTGCCCCAGACGTCTAGCCAGCCGGGATAAAACTCGGTGTTCACTAGAGGTCCTTTCGGCGCGTACTTCCGCTGCACGTAGAATGCGAACTTTGTCCCTTCTCGTCCCGTCGGGCCAAAATCAACCGTCGGGTATGCTCCTAAAAGACCTCGTATTTACGTATCATCTGGGCAAACCTTAACATGACACACGGATATGATAGTAGAAACTTTTGGAAAGGAAAATTATTTATATTGTTTCAGTTCATTTGCATATCATGCTCATGGTTCCTTCTTTGATCCGTTGATTAAGTACAATAGTGTAATACAATTGAATTGTATACTTTATCCTTGTGTTGTGAAAAATTTCCCTGATGATGGTTTCTATGCCGGAGGCCGAAACGTCGGAACAAAACAAAGGAGTGTGTTACACCCAAAACCGTTTCCGTTGGGAAAAAGTTATAAGATTCATAACCTGGGCATGTATCGAAAAAGGACATTCTGAAAGTGTTAGGTTAATTTGGTTATTCGCTAATACGTTGACTGATATTACGGCTTAATGCATCATATTGAACATCTCCTATACTCTTGGTCAAGAGATAGCCAGACGTACAATATCTGTGGTACTTTCCCCTTAACAGTCAACCGTTGTGTCACCGATTGCGGTAATACTATTCACTTCTAACAATATGTTCGGCATGGAGACGAAAAAGTTTTTAGACAATGACTACTGAAGGCACTTTATATGCCAGCTTAAATAACTTCCTTTTATTCTTAATAATGGCAATGGCTGTTCATGCCACTGCCCATTATTTAATTGTATATTCAGTGAGCACTGCCACGGTAGCTCTGTCTACGCGAATAGCACAGAACTCGAGGAAATCACCAGCTACACATACCTCGGCTGTCAGGTAGACCATATTAACTCGATTGATGAGGAAATAATCATATTGGCTAGGAACGGCACATACCAGTTTTAAGGTCGAATTAAAATCCGTTCGAATCGAACATCTTAGGCACCATGACCTTTGGCTGTGAATGCTGGTCTGCTGCTGAAGCTGAGAAAAACAAACTGATTGCCACGCAAAGGGCGGTGGAACGAGAAATCTACCACATCACTTTCCGGGATCACGTTCAGAGCGCACAAATTCGCCAACGGTCTGATTTGTGCCTTTTACGTAGCTAGAGAAGATTGGCAGGTCATTTGGCTTGCTTGAGAGGTAACCGATGGACATCAGGAATTTTTTAAGCTGGATTCCGCTAGACTACCAACGTCGAGACTGTGCAGCCAACGTTCGAGGTATGATTCGAAGAACAGGGAACACTGGTGCAGTGTTGACTCAAGTTCTTGATGCCTCGACGTGGAGTGACGGATATACATGATTTAGGCTTGGTACACGAATAAACTACTAAACTAAATTAGCTAGTAAATACGATCTACTA